TCAGCAGGAGCTCAACACACTCAGGTTTGACTCACAGCCTGATCACCAGTGCTGTGGCTCAGTGGCAGAGCATCTGCTTGGCATGCATACGGTCCCTGGTTCAATCCCCCGGCAGCTCCAGTTATAAAAGAACCAGGTAGTAGGTGAGTAGAGATATCACCCTGCCAACAAAAGTCTGTAGTTCAATTTTATTTTAAACAAGCAACTTGATGTTAATAATTTTGTGATTCATGGTCTGAAATTCTGGTGTCACAAAGACACAGCACAGCAAAGTCTGTATGGTAAAAGCGATGGTATTCCCAGTAGTAATGTATGGCTGTGAGAGTTGGACTATAAGGAAGGCTGAGCGCTGAAGAATAGAGTCTGTGCACTTAACCACTACACCAAACTGAGAAGGGAGCACTCACTGGAGAAGACCCTGACGCTGGGAAAGATTGAAGGTAAAAGAAGAAGGGGACAGCAAAGGATGAGATGGTTAGACAGTGTTATTGATGCAGTGAACATGAGATTAAGCAAACTCCGGAGCACGACGGAGGACAGGAGGGCCTGGCATGATGTGGTCCATGCGGTCACGAAGAGTCAGACTCGACTGTGTTGCTGAACAACAACAAAGTAGGTGATAGGAAAGACCTCATCCTGCAGTTCTGCACAACTGCTGCCAGTCTGAGTAGACTGTACTGACCTTGATGGACCTAGGGTCTGATTCAGTATAAGGCAGCTCCATGTGTATTCATGTAACATGGGAAGTTTGGGTGTCAAGGGGGGTCGCTGTAAAAATCACAATGTCTTACTTCTCATAAACATTTGGTGGTTTTTAATTTTAGTACCTCTCACTATATTGGATGTTAGGTTTTGAGTTCTGCGGGGTCTCAGATCAGCCCATCATTTCTGGTTGTTTTTTGTTTTGTTTTAAGAGTTAACCCTTTTTAGTTGCTTCTGGGTAGTGTAGCCAAAAAACCTGGAAACCGGATGTTAAGCGAATATAAATGCTGAATACTACAGAATACCCACATACTGAAGGACTGATCTACGGCTACCCTTCTGTCCACTTCTCCTACCAATACGCTCAAGTCATTAGCAACCTACTCGAATGACATTCCCACTTTACAATGGGGCAAGGTCAGCAGGTGACCGTTCCGCAGTGACCTTCTGCCTACTTCTCTCTAATCAAGCACAACTCCTATAAAACCGAGTTCAATCACCCAAAGCACAGCCAAAACTATAACAAGCAGTCAACAACAGGCGCCGATTCCACCTCTGATCCCTTGCACCTCCCATTTCTGCATCAAATGTGCACCAAGCAACCTGGCCTTGACACAAATGAAAGAGGGTGGAACTTCAGTAAGAAATCACGACAATCCAGCTGGCGGGAAACCGGCACAGACTGAGCACAAAGCCCCAAAACGCAATTTTTGTAGCTGCCCTAGAGGGCAACTTTGTTTATTAAGTCCCCTGTAGGGATCTCAGATCAGTTTGTCTGGAGTCTCTGGGCACGTAACCAGAGCTGCGTGATCTCTACACTGCAGCCAAAGTATCCTGAATACATTATGAAAATGAGCACATTTGAGTAGTTTTTCGATCGTTCATCCAGCATTTCTATTCTTTGGGGTTATTTATGTCAGTTCCAATCACTAGCCCTTTCTGATAACGAGCTATGCAGGGCACTTTCCCTGCAGCTACTGCAAACCTATTTACCCACACACTGCCCGGTGCTCTTTGAAACCACGAGAAGGTAGCAAATGGTTTTATGTTTTTTTTTTAAAGCAGGAGCTGAGAAGTTTCAAGCAGCTGAATTCCGCATTCAAAACCACTTTCCTGTGCTTCTCCTGCACAATGGCAGCAGACACAGAGCCCTGCCTGGAACAGTCTAGCCTGGAATTGGAAACAGGATGAATGGTTTGCAACAAAAGACCATGATATTCAGATATGAGGAAAGAGGCAGAAAGTTGGGGTGTAGAATACTAGAATCCATATGGCACCCGTGGAGTAAAACTTTATGCCTTTATAGAAATGCGTTAGTGCCTGGATACAGTAGAAAAGAGCAAGAGTCCAGCAGCACCTTAAAGACTAACGAACTGTGTGGCAGGGGGTGAGCTTTCGTGAGTCACTGCTCACTTCTTCAGATACCAGTGACTCACAAAAGCTCATACCCTGCCACATATTTTGTTCGTCTTTAAGGTGCTACTGGACTCTTGCTCTTTTCTACTGCTACAGACGGACTAACACGGCTGCCCATTGTGATCTATCTGCCTAGATACCTCTTCTCTTACTTTGGAGTGGGGGGGGGGCTTTTCTAGGACTCACATAGGACTCACATATTCTTAGCCATCCAGAAAACAGGTGGCACATCTGATCACTCCCTCCTATGTCCACTCCCTCCTTTCCAAGCCTGGAAAGAAAAAAAGATCCTGTCTTTGGATTTGACAACCTGCCCTACAACTGTGGCCAGAATCTGTCACCAAACAGAGATTTTGCTGGTGCAGTCTTGCGAGTAACATGCATGTCCATTGACAAATCCCCTTTAGATGCTTTCTGGACCACCTGTCTCCAGCATGTAACTTGTACAGAAGACCCAGAAAATATCATAAGATCTACTCCAGGGGGGGTTTTAAACTTTTTCCCCCCATAGGATTTTTCTATATGCTGCTTAGCTAACAGCTTCGTTCCTAGTGCTCTTCCTAGTCCACGTTGTGTTCCTAGGGCACAACAAAACTTGGTAATACGGAGGTGGGGGGGGGGAGTAGCTCAGGATATTTTTCATTATTCGGTAGCTCTCATTCACAAAGAGGTTGGCAGCCACCATTTTGGATTACTTGTTACCCAGAGATTCTTGAGACCTTGAGAGTCGGACTTTTGTTCAGACCAGAATGGACACTTCTGTAGCCAGCTCTTCCTTCGGCATCTCTCACCTTCAGTGGCTGTCTGAAGTGATATGGTCTAACAGTACTGGCCGTTATGACTACGAACGCTCGCCACTTTTTTGCTGACAGAGATTCCCAGCCCCGATACTTGTACTTTTCCCCTCAACGAACATCATCCTTGTTATCAATCTGTCTGGATCCAGATCCCTTGCCATTTTGTTCAGCAGATTTTAATACCGCTGTGCAAATCGCTACCCAAGTTTGCAGTGTTTCTTAAAGCCGTAAGCGTTGAGGTCACACACACTAAATAATCCTCTTTCAATCCACTTCCAGTGCACTTTCCAACAGGATTTTCCTGTGTGAACTGGCAAAATCCAGTTGGAAAGTGGATTGAAAGTGGATTATGTAGTGTGTACGACTGCAGCCAAGGAGAACTTAAGCCAGCTGCTATTAGGAAACCTGGCAGCAAGAGGGTTTCCTTCTGTAGTCTGAGGCTGTTTAGTGTGGATTTTGCACACTAATTGGAAAGTGGACCCATCTTGGATTCCTCTATTAGAAAGAAAGGTGAGCATATAAAAACTTAAAATAAATGTGCCTAGAGTACGGGCAACTTTCTGACCACTCATGACTCTGTGGGGGAAAACAGGCCTGACCTAAGCATAATGTTGGCACTCCGGCTATTTTCCATTCAAACAGTGTCTGGAAGACAACTACGTTAACTTGGTTAATGTGCAAAAAGGTCCACAGCCTAGAAATTGGAACTCCCCCCTCCCCGCATATGCACAGCCCATAACAACATACGGAAATCCTTTATCGGCCAAACAGGAAGTGAATTTTTTAAAGGTTATGATATTACTGTAACCTGAAGTTTCGTAGAAATTAAAACAGCTAGGCTCCCCTCCCCAGGGTCTACCCTTTCTTTCCGCACCAGAAACATATAGTCCACAAGTGGAAAATTCATCCACTATTACAGGCATCTGAGTCCAGGTCTCTTGAAAAATAACAATATCAAACATAGAAATATATTCCAGAAAGGAAGGATCAAGTTCTCTTGGATAGCCAGCCAGCAATATTCTAGGATATGGTTGTTACCATGGGGCTAAAGGTAAAGGTTTCCCTTGCTTGAAAGCCAGTCGAATCCAACTCTAGAGGGCGGTGCTCTTCTCCATTTCCAAACCGAAGAGCCAGCGCTGTACGAAGACTTCTCCGTGGTCATGTGGCCGGCATGACTAGACGCCAAGGTGCACAGAACACTGTTACCTTCCCACCGAAGCGGTACCTATTTATCTACTTGCAATTTCTTGCTTTCAAACCGCCAGGTTGGCAGGAGCTTGGGGCCAGAGATGGAAGCTCACTCTGTCACGTGGCACTCGGGTATCGAACTGCCGAACTACCGACCTTCCGGTCTACAGCTCAGCGTCTTAACCTCTGAGCCACCACGGCTACAACTGTCAATCTGTGCAGCTCATGAAATTCTCCTCCCTTGGTGGAGAACCCGGGACTACTTCAGCCACATCGTGCAGTAAACCCTTCATGGGGGAAAGAGATATAATTTTAGTAGATGGAGAAAGAGGATCTGCTGGCGCTTTCTGTAGTTCAGGCAGGATGGATGCCTTGAGATCAGGTGAAGTAACGGGGAGGCGAGTTTCGCCCACTGCCCCATTACTATAAAAGAAGTTATAATATTAAGAATTATATGCCCAAGAGGTGGTGGCAAAAAAACTTACCACTCCTATTCCTTCAAAAGCAAATATAGCCGTGCCAAAGAAAAGTGGATATTTCTTCAAATCAGCGATCAGGGGCAGCTTCTTCAGAGACAGATTTTTCAAACCCTGGTGAGAGAGAGAGATTAGAGTGAAGAAGTTTACTCCTTCAAGAACGTCCTTCAGGAAGATGGTCCCCGGTGCCTACCAGAGCCACCCCATTGCAACCAGCTCACAAAGCCAAGCAAGCGTGGAACAAGAAACTGGGGCAAACTGCTTTACAGTAAGAGTAGTGCAACAGTGGAATCAGCTGCCTAGAGAGGTGGTGAGCTCCCCCTCACTGGCAGTCTTTGAGAGCCAGTTTGGTGTGGTGGTTAAGTGCACAGACTCTAATCTGGGAGAACTGGGTTTGATTCCCCACTCCTCCACTTGCAGCTGCTGGATAACCTTGGGCAAACCATAGCTCTGTCAGAGCTGTTCTCTCAAGAGCAGTTCATCTTAAAAGGAACCACCTTCATTAGGCAAGATCATTTCAGATTCTGGCTACAAGAAGTGGTCAGTGTTCATGCCAAAAATGAACATTGTCTGTATGTATAGTAATGTCAAGTCGCAGCTGACTTCTGGCAACCCCAGCCAAGGGTTTTCCAAGGCAAGTGAGAAGCAGAGGTGGTTGGCCATTGCTTTCCTCTGCAGAGCCTTCCTTGATAGTTTCCCTTGCAAGTACCGACCCTGCTTAGCTGCTGAGATCTGACGAGATCGGGCTATTCCATGCCACCTTCCCTCCCAACAGCAAATATTATGAAAGACATAAAGGGATTTTCTTAAGCCAAATGTCTAACGCATCCAAGAAAGCAACCTACCCTCCTTCCTGAATTAATTATAAGGGTAAAAATTCATCTCCTGCATCCCAATGGACTTTTAGGTCCATATTCAATCATTGTCTTTGAGTTAATTGGGATATCAGCGCCACTCTCAGGCCACAGTAAGCTTTGCCCCGAACAACTATTAGCAAACAAAATAAGCTTCCTGAAGTCTGAAATGAGCAAATAAGATAATTTAATTTGACTGCACGATCACAGGACGCACACATGCCTCAAATATAGGAAATTAAATACATAAGGGTCTGGGATTCAGCCTAACACTTCAGATAAGGTTTTTCCGTCTGACCTACTTCCACCACTAAGGAGACAGTACACGCTATTCAGGATTGGTAACTATGATCAAACCGCCCCTTTTCTTAATTTTTCCCTTCTTCTCTTATAGTCCCTGATGTCCATAATCTTTCTCCCCGTTGCTGTGGCACCATTCCTGGTTCCTGACATGGAGCCTCCCTTGGTCTCTCTGAAGACCCCACTCCGGGTGCCCAGATTCTCCGGCTCCTGATGCCCCCCCCCCACTTTATGTCCCAGCTCTCCAGCTTAACTCTCCCTCTCGGATTGCCAAGCCTCCTCCTTGTATTATCTTCCATTCGCTTGCCCTCTCATTTAAGTTAGCCTTCCTCCTCCCATGTTCTTCAGAGACATGCACACCGTCAGGGGTCATTGCCTGCAGGAGTGCGCAGGAGCGGAGCTCCGGCAGTGAAGAGCCCAGGGGGCGGGCACATGCAACAAGACCCACACCCTGCTCCCAGCAGCCCTCAGTCAGAGCAAGCAGCAGCCAGGTAAGCTGCAGAGCACCCCCGGCACCCCGGTCCAAAACAGTCCAGTGGCACCTTTAAGACCAGGTTTTATTCAGGTACAAGCTCTCCCTCCTCTGCGAGGACAGATCTGCACGTTCCCCCCCCCCCATAGCTAGCAATCCAAAACAGTCCAGTGGAGCCTGAGTGGTGGGTGATGCCTTCTGACACACTTCCAGTGATGTCAGGGTGTGTGGCATATGCAAATAAGTTATGCTAATGAGTTATGCTAATGAGCTCCTGCACCTCTTTTTCTACAAAATGACCCCTGCACACCGTCACACGACTCCCTCATGGACCATCCCCGAATGAGATATAGTCAGGCACCTTAACCAAAGATTTTAGTGACTGTGTGGTTAGAACTTCCCAAAGTAGGTACTTATAGTATTTTATTCTGATTTACCAATATTTTGGCTAGTACCTTTTAAATTTTCGATTTTGCCTTCAGTCTATTAATTTGTAGTTCACAAATGTCAGCCCTTTTAAAACAATGGCCTTCCTGTTTCATGGGAGAGTATTACACCATCTCCAGCCTGCGTATCCCCAAAGACCCAGAGTTGAGGGATATATGTGTGAATGGTCACGTACATGTGGTCGCCCAGGGCAACAGGATTGCCACTCATTGGCTGAACCTACAGTCACAACAGCCAAGCTAGAGTTGCATCTTCGTTAGCCCTTAAAACCAGCGGTTCCTTGACTTTGCTGGACCCAAGGGCACTTTTGAAATTTTGAGAACACTCAGTTCTCAATTGTTATGCCACAACGTAACGGCTACCACAGGGGCTGGGGTCAGTCACAAAGCATTGGCAGGTTCTACAAAGTACTAGAAGGTTCCAGGCTAAGCAGCCTCCTATGCTGGAGGCAGCTGTTTCCAAATGAAGATGAAAAGGAGATGTTATCTGGGTTCCTCTGAAGCCCCTCCTACTCCATTGATAGGGAAAAGCCTGGACTGCCTCTTTGCCTAGACAAGATGCTTTGGGGATGTAATCAGCAGGTCCCAGGAAACACATTGGCAGGTATAATGATACCCATGGGCATTGTGTCGGAAGAGTACTGCTTTAAACTTACAAGGGAAAGCTAAGATTCCTGCATGATTCATCCTAATCACAGAATCATAGAGTTGGGAGGGGCCATAAAGGCCATCTAGTCCAACCTCCTGCTCAGTGCAGGGTCACCTTACAGCATCCCTGACAAGTGTTTGTCCAGACACTGCTCACAGACTGCCAGTGAGGGGGAGCTCACCACCTCCCTAGGCAGCCGATTCCACCGATCCAGCCGGTACCTTCCCGCCCTTAACTTAAACCCATGATTGCGAGTCCTCTCCTCTGCTGCCTGCAGGAACGGCTCCCTGCCCTCCTCTAAGTGATGGCCCTTCAAAGACTTCAAGAGAGCCATCCTGTCCCCCCTCAACCTCCTCTCCTCCAGACTAAACATTCCCAAGTCCCCCAGCCTTTCCTTGTAGGGCTTGGTCCAGATCTGGTGATCACACGAAATTACACTGGTGAATGAAAAGGAACATTAGGAGGTTGTCCCAGTCTGCTAAAGGGGATGGTTAGTCAGAGTAACTTTGCCATGTAGTAGCACCAACTTTCCCTGGCTACTGTCACAAACCTCATTCTGGATGTTTTCTCCAACATACATCTATCCAACACCTGATTGAGGTTGTTGTTGTTATTATTATTATTATTATTATTATTATTATTATTATTATTATTATTATTATTATTATTATTATTATTATCGTATGGCACTGTATGTATTATAGCCAGGAGATCCTAACTAATATTGTCTGGCAGCCAGAAGTTCTAGCTCTTTTAGCGTTATGTACCGCTAGGTGGCGAGCCAGACATGTTTTTAAGGCAAGAGACGTTTCAGAGGTGGTTTGCCATTCCCTGCCTCTGTGTCACGACCCTGGTATTCCTTGGAAATTGCCCTTCCAAATACTAGCCAAAGCCGACCCTCCTTAAGGTATGACTGAGGTATGAAAAGGTCTCAAGAATACCTGGAAAGATTTTGGGTTTGGACTTGACCATTTGCAGGATCCCCCCACCTCCAGTACAAACTCAGAAGGAGCTGAAGTCAGAACAGTTGATTCCAATACCAAAAGCCAAAAAGGGAGAGTGGGGGGGGGATTTTTCTCTGTACTCACGTGAATAATATATTGATAGATGATGACAAGGCTGATGGCCATGGATATGTTTGCGAAGAAGGAAAGCACAGACAGAGTCCGAAGGTCGCGGATGAAAACCAAGATGATGACAAAGGGAAGGAAACACAGCATGTACAGCCGCAGATCGATGGTCCTTTTGTCCGAGGACCCACTGGTTCCGGTGGCATTCGTCGGTTTCGGCTCAAGGAACCCTTCGCATACCTGCAGGGAAAACACACGCCATTGATTATTTAAGTTGTAAAATAGAATTTAAAAATTGCGTTCCATACGTTTCGATGCTCTGACTTGGATGGGTTAGCCCGATCTCGTCAGATCTCGGAAGCTAAGCAGGGTCAGCCCTGGTCAGTATTTGGATGGGAGACCACCAAGGAATACCAAGGTTGCTATGCAGGGAAAGGCAATGGCGAATCATCTCTTGCCTTGAAAACCCTATGGCATCTCCGTAAGTCAGCTGCGACACGATGGCACTTTCTTCCACCAAAAAGCTTCCTCGTGCACAATTAGCTCCAGGATCTCCTGTATATAAGAGAACCATGATGTTCCCCCACTAAAGGTATTCCCTGGAATTGACAGTGACACCCGTGGAGCTGGCTAGAACATTGGATTAACATGATATTGCGACCTCTGTAATGGGACATAAACAGTACAGGCTACAAGAGGCCTGAAGACATTCAGAAGTTGCCCAGCTCTAAGCCCCTGAAAACGGGATCTGGAAACAGTCTCTCTTCTTGGAGCAGCATGCCATGCTTCATTCATTCGTTTGTTTGTTCGCTCATATGTTTCCTCATATGTTCCCCCGCGAGCACCACGGTCTGGGACGCAACATCTCCTGGCAATGCCAGATCCCAAAGAGGCCAGGCTGGCCGCTACCAGGGCCAGGGCTTTCTCGGTGGCGGCTCCTACCTGGTGGAATGAGCTCCCGGAGGAGATCCAGGCCCTGCGGGACCTCGTACAGTTCCGCAGGGCCTGTAAGACGGAGCTCTTCCACCAGGCGTATGAGTAGGAGCCGCCACTACCATCACTACTGTTCCATCTTAACCTGGCCCTGGAAGAGAGAACATCAGTGTTTCCCGGAGCAGATGATGCTGAGTAGGTAGAGCAGTTGCAATAGAGCAGGTGTAATACGCCATCTTGTGGAACATCATGTAAGAACATCTAGAGCACTTTTGTTAATAATGTTATTGTACTGTAGTGATTTTAAATGGTTTTTAAATATGTTTTATATTGGCGTATGCCTCTTTGTAAGCCGCCCTGAGCCCGCGTAGCGGGGAGGGCGGGGTATAAATTGTATAATCAATCAATCAATTAATTAATTAATCAAAACAAACACACAAACAGAAAAGAGGGCTAAGAAGAGTTAGTGGAGGAACCCCTAACAAGACAAAAAGCCTTTGTGGTTGCAGGTATAGATGGAAAGTTCCCTTAAGTCACAACCATGTAGCGACCATGGAGGTCTTTGGTGGTCTCCGATCCAAGTAGTAATCAGGGCTGACCCTGCTTAGCCTCTTGAGGTCTGATGAGACCAAGCTAGCCCGGGCCATTCAGGTTACGGCTACATTTGGTTAACGCTAAGAAATATACACAGGAACGTTCTAATCCTGATCTCCCAAAGACTCTTGCAGTTCAGTCTTACAAAGACGACGAAGAAGAAGATGAAGACGAAGATGAAGATGACGAAGAAGAAATTGAATTTATATCCCGCCCTTCACTCAGAGTCTCAGAGCATCTTATAATCTCCTTCCCTTCCTCTTTCCACAACAGACAGCCTGTGAGGTAGGTGGGGCTGAGAGAGCTCTTTCGAGGACTGCTCTTGAGAGAACAGCTCTGAGAGAACTGTGGCTTGCCCAGGGTCACCCAATAGCTGCATGTGGAGGAGTGGGGAATCAAACCCGGTTCTCCCACATTAGAGTCCACGCTCCTAACCACTACACCAAACTGGCTCTTACCCCAAAGCATACCCTCCCTCATGTACTTTTACATGTATATTAGCTTGGCAGCCTTAGAGAGCAATCCTATGCAGAGCTACTCCAGCCTAAGGCCACAGAAGTAGTTGGGCTGAAGACTGGAGTAATTCTGCCTTGGACTGTACTGTTAATCCTAGACATGTGATCCACACCAGCATTAAGGGCTCTTGCTTTGAAAATAATGTTGCTTGCTCACCCTGCAAAAGAGATTTTATATAAGCCTAACATTTCCAGCTATTCAATTCGCAGGGACGCTGGGCTTTTTTAATACATATATTTGAACAATGCTTTGAGGCGGATGTATTGAAGAAGAATCTTTTGGCAGATGAATCAGAGGAATCAGACAGGCTATTAATCCTCACTTAAATATCTGTCTCGTTGTGCAAAAGAAATATAGACACAACCATTGCATCACCTCAGAAGGCCCCAGTGCCATAATAGGCAGTGCAGCTGTCTGGTACAGCCATTCCCCATCATTTGAGCTGCGCTCAGAACACCTCAACAATAGCTAATCTAACCAGGACGAGATCTTTCTGTATCAACCATATGCAAAAAGTAATAAAAATTATGCAACTGCTTCTCAATGTGGTTTTGTGGTTGCACTGTGGTTTTGTGGTTGCAATGTGGTTTTGTGGTTGCAATGTGGTTTTGTGGTTGCACCAAGTTTTGTGGTTGCACCAAGACCTTCAGAAAAGTGTCCGACAAGCCTTCAATTTGAATACTTAAAAAAAAAATCAAAAGGCAATTACACATTTTAGAAAACAAGTTTTAGGTACGTACTATCTCACCTGCAAAACAACAACAACAAACCAGCCTATAAAGCTTTGGGGATGGATCCAAGGTCAGTTTCTGTTGGGGGGTGAGGACAATTTCCACTAGTTTCCCCCACTCATCACATACCGTCATTTTGCCCTTATGTTGCCCCCACAAGTTCTTTTCCCTGGGAACAGCATTTCAGGGAGAGAGGTGGGCTGTCCCAAAGGATTAGGGAAGAGACGATGTGAGGACTATTCTTACGCATACAGAGTGCCTACCACCCTCCACAACCTCTCTCCCACAGGTTTCGGGTTACAGGAAGGTCAAGCAGTCACACTTCACTACCCATCTTTAATATAGAGAGTCATGACCATTTCACATCCCAGGTCCTCTCTCTCACTCACATTGACATTGCCAGACAGGGCAGCCCACTTTAGTAATTACCCCTTACTCAGACACTGCACACAGCTATTGGGGTTGGGGACTCAATCATTCCAGCATTTCAGATCCTTTGTTACAAATGGTTCTTTTTCTCTGTCAGCATTAAGCTGCTCTTCTCCACAGCTTCACTCAGTCAGACTCACTCCCCCCCACAACTCCACCAATAGCTCTCCTCAACGGTCTCCACTAACATTTCAACAGCTCCCATTGGCCGCTCTTAGAGAGAGGCGGAATCTAATCAGTCTGTCACAGAAGAGGAAGCAGAAAGGTTCCATTTCACAGATGAAACTTCCTTCCATTAATGGAAAGCAAGGGTTGGCTCCAGTCCCTGAAGTCTGAGTACACATCAGAGTCCAGATCCCCTTCAAAAAAAGTACTCTGCCACCTCTATAAATAGCAATGTTCATACACCCAAGAACATCCTTCAAACATTTATGATTTCCTATGGTAATCCTTTCGGGTCCATAATACAACAAAGCTCAGAATTCAAGATGCTAGTTTTTTGCTGTTTTTTTAAGTCACCCATTGCCTGCAAACAAGAAAGTCAGCCTGGGAGAATAAAAGTTACTGTTTTAATTTTCTATTTGGGATAGAAGCTGCTCTTGTGGCCAAAATGAGAAAGAAAGGCATATAAACGTCAGACTTTTCAGAAGATTGACCAGCTGTATAAGTATCCAATTTGCTGGCTGCAGCTTGTGTGTAAACTGCAGTCAAGTCGCAACCGACTTATAGCAACCCTGTAGGGTTTTCAAGGCGAGAGACGTTCAGGGGTGGTTGGCCATTCCCGGCCTCCGCACAGCCACCCTGGATTTCCTCGGTGGTCTCCCGTCATAGTACTAACCAAGGCTGACCCCGCTTAGCTTTTGAGTTCGGGCTAGCCTGAGGCATCCAGCTGTGGCTTAGCTAGAGCCAATAAACCCAACACGCCTTGAATGGTTAAACACAAAACCGTCTTAAGGAGTTAGTAAAAAGTCTGAAAGAGCCGCAGGCCTCCGATTCCATCCCCCACATACTGTACAGAGAACAGCAACAGTTTGCCGTAGCTCCTAATATGCCAGCCTGCATACACTGACTCATCTCTGGCCTGGCCTTAGCCCTGCTTTTGCAACGTCAGACTCTGTATCATCATCAGCTCCAATCGCTCGGCCACCACTACTCTGAAGCGACAGGATCTTCCCCCGGTGCACCGTTATGCGGAGTTAGTCATCCTGGGACAGGGCAGGGTAACCGCTGCCCCCTTGCCCTCTCCGCCAAAGGACACGGCAAAACAAAAATCTCTGTCCACGCTGTTGTTTACACAGTGCCATTTTCATTCCTCGTAACTTCTTGCGCGCGCGCGGGGGGGGAGCTGCACTCACAAAACTTTCCTTTTTAATGTGAACAAACTCATAAGAACAAAAGGATAGATCACGTTTTTGGTATCTGAAGAAGTGAGCCGTGACTCATGAAAGCTCATCCCCTGCCACAAATTTTGTTAGTCTTTAAGGTGCTCCTGGACTCTTGCTCTTTTCTACTGCATAAGAACGTGAGAAGAGCCCTGCTGGATCAGAACAGTGGTCCATCTAGTCCAACATCCTGTCTCACACAGGGGCCAAACAGTTCCTCTGGAGGGACAACAAGAGGGCACAGAGGCCAAGGCCTTCCCCCGATGTTGTCTCCTGGCTCTGGGATTCAGAGGATTAGTGCCTCTGAATGTGGAGGTTCCCCTCAGTCACCACAGCTAGTAGCTACTGATAGATTTATCCTCCATGATTCTATCTAATCTCCTTTTAAAGCTGTTTATTCTGTAACCATCACTACATCCTCTGGCAGCAAATTCCACATCTGAATCACTCTCTATATAAAGCAGTATTTCCTTTTGTCCATCCCGAACCTACTGCCCATCGGTTTCACTGGGTGCCCTTGAGTTCTAGTATTTTGGGAGAGGAAGAAAAAGTTCTCTTCGTCAACTGTCTCCACCCCGTGCATAATTTTATAAATCTCTACCATGTCCCCCCCTTAGTCGCCTCTTTTCTAAACTGAAAAGTCCCGGACTCTTCA